GCCTTAATGTCAGCTTTCGTGGCTGATGTAGTCTTATAATCCAATGAAATCTGATCTAGCCCTACCCAAGTGGGAAAGCTGACTGGGCTAGTCAATAGCTACTCCACTGAGGAGGAAACCACTCTGCAAGGGTTCTGCAGAATCTACACAATATCTTGGAATTGAGACTGTGCAGCAGCCTGGGATGTTATTGATTTCTTTCCCATAGTATACTGGAAAGGTTTAAGTGTAAGTTGTGGTAATGTGAGTGTCAGGTTAAACTATGACCCAACATGCAGTACCTAAATAGTGACACAAGGTTAAATAAACATTGGTGAAATATATGTATTGCCAGGCTGTAGAATATTACTTATTCTATGTTCCTATTTATATTCATAGAAATATGGATGCCTAATGGTTAAAAAGAACATATGGTAATTTGCTATTGTGATGGACCGCCTGGCACACTGACTGGGTGCCTCCGCTAATCGATGCTTCCTAGTGCTCACCGAGTACTCCAAGCACTCCACCAGACACTAGCAGTACTGTAGACCCATAGCCTCCGCAGCTTGGCTCACTGTCCTCCACCCATCCTGGACCCAAGTCAGGGAACCAACTTCCCGTGGGTAGACCTCTCCTACTCCAGAGAGTATAGCTCTTTCAAGAGCTAGTGATCTAGCTGGTATAGCTGTTCCCTACAATCACGAGACAAGGCTGGGATGCTCCCTGGTGGGCTGCCTGCTCCTGTCTGGGTCCGCAGTGCCCCTAGCGCCAGGCCGATCCTCAAGGTGCGCCGAGAGGATCCCTGTCACAGGGGAGCCAGGAAGTGGCCATGTGGCCACCTCAGGTCGCCCCCGGAGCTGTGCGCTACGTATGGAAGAGCAGGCACCTGCTTACCTTAATGGCAGGTGCCTGCTCTGCCAACAAATCCCAGTGTCCGGAGGAAAGGGGGGCAGAGAAGGAACACGGCAAGGGAGGCTGTTCTTGCAGTCTCTCACTTCTCCCTCGCGCGCCCTCTGTGATGCCGGGAGCCAGAATATTACATAATTCCAGCCCCAGCATACTAAACAGCACACTGGAAGAGTGAGGAGCTGCTCCACACTGGACCCCAGGGAGGTGAGTGTTTAAGTGTTTGACTGTCAGTGAGAGTGTGAGTGAGTGAGTGAGTGTCTGCCTGTGTGTGTGTGTGTCTGTCTGTCTGTCAGTGACTGAGTGTATGTCTGTCAGTGAGTGTGTGTGTGTGTGTTTCTGTCTGTCAGTGAGTGTGTGTGTCTGTCAGTGAGTGAGTGTATGTATGTCTGTTTATCAGTAAGTGTCTGTGTGTGTGTGTGTGTGTATGTGTATGTGTGTGTGTGTGCATCTGTCAGTGAGTGTATGTCTGTCTGTCAGTAAGTGTGTGTGTCTGTCAGTGAGTGAGTGTATGTCTGTCAAGAGTGTGTGTGTGTATCTGTCAGTGAGTGAATCTATGTATGTCAGTGTGTGTGTGTCTGTCAGTGAGTGTGTGAGTGTATGTCTGTCAGTGAGTATGTGTGTGTGTGTGTGTCTGTCAGTGAGTGAGTGTATGTCTGTCAGTGAGTGTGTGTGTGTGTGTGTCTGTCAGTGAGTGAGTGTATGTCTGTCAGTGTGTGTGTGTGTGTGTGTCTGTCAGTGAGTGAATGTCTGTATGTCAATGTGTGTGTGTGTGTGTATCTGTCTGTCAGTGAGTGTGTGTGTGTGTGTCTGTCAGTGAGTGAGTGAGTGAGTGTATGTATGTCTGTTTATCAGTAAGTGTCTGTGTGTGTGTGTGTGTGTGTAGGTGTATGTGTGTGTGTGTGTGTGCGTGCATCTGTCAGTGAGTGTATGTCTGTCTGTCAGTAAGTGTGTGTGTCTGTCAGTGAGTGAGTGTATGTCTGTGTGTGTGTGTGTCAGTGAGTGAGTGTGTGTGTGTGTGTGTGTCTGTGTGTGTGTCTGTTAATGAGTGAGTGACATGAGGGGTCGGCAAAATGGATCTTGCCTAGTGCGGCAGAAATCCTTGCACTGGCCCTGGTTGAGGGTGAAGTTGAACTGTTTAATGGCAGCCACAACTGGCCTTATATGCAAATCCCCATGCAAAGGCTTTTACATAACATGTTCCAGGGGCATTCCCCACTGGATATGAGAGGGGACAGTGGCAAAGTACACTCTCTGATTACATTAGCTTTCAGGTCCAGGACACTCCCACACAAAACAGGATAATCCCTCCCCTGTGCCTGAGAGATAATTGAGTCAGGAACTGTACTAAACTAAATTATTCCAGGCACAGAAAACATACATTTTAACAACACCCTGAAAGTACACCCAAAACACATGGAAACCCCCTCAAAAGTCATATCACCTGATAGCCCCGATCTGGGGGACCAACATATCCAGAAATCACCCAGATCGGCCCAGGGGTTTCGGATTTCCATGGAAGTCATCATTTTGACTGACCGTCTCTCTTTCTGGAGTACAAAAGTACATAAATTACATAAGTTTTTAAAGGGCCCATAGTCTTTTGGCAGGAGGCTGGCAAGCAGGCCCCTCCAAGAACACGTGTCAAAGGCATTTCTGCCACAGCTATGCTGTACCATGAGAATGGAATCTGGTAATTGAGGGTCTTGTCCTTATATGGCCAGAGTTATATTTGAAAGGTCTGACATCATTATGGTCATATCTATATAGAATAGTGGACAAAAGACCATGGGACTTGATGTTGTATGTCTGTTCACTAACTACGTAGACTCTAACTGTCCTGTCCTTCAGGAGTCCAGCAATTACTATCTGCTGTTGAACAACCATTATCCTGTAACATCCTTTGTTATTTTATTATATATCAGTAACTGTAAGAATAAACCTAAAGAAAACATGTCTGATGAGTATTGATGTTTCTAACTGACACACGGAAAAATTTTAATATATAAATGTATATTAACACGGCGAGCCACCCAACAAGAAGAATGAAGAAATATATCATAAGAAGAAGAAAATTAATCTATTATATACTGTCTAAGTGGCTTGGTCAGGACTCTAAATACACTTGTTGGTTACACCAGGACCATGAATTTCTTAATAGAAAATATTTTGCGCTGCTAAATAAACCTCAAATTACACAAAGCCCAGAACAAGTGAAAAGCGCCCACACAGAAAATGTATAGTTTCAAATAGTACATCGTATTTCTGTTTCTATTCATTATCTCACTCTGAAATGTTCCAAGACAAATAAAACAACATAATCTCCAAAATGTATTATCCCAAGTTTTTCCAAAGGATAAATAAATAAGTGAAAAAGTGTGCAATATATATTTTTAGGTATCCCGTAACAGCAGCGTATATGCAATACAGATTGCTTATACTGTTTGTGTGCTATCTATGCAGCCTGTATTTTATTAATGAAGGAGTTAACAAGCAAATTAGAAGCAGGTGATTAAATAGTACTAGTGTAAAAGCCACATTGGCAGCCAATAAGAATTTTAACCTTAAGAAAATAATGTGTCATGAGATTTAAAACCAGACTACCTAACCTCAGAACTTTTTCTGCAACAAAAAGGCTAAACTTTCTGCTACCCTCTGTCATAAGTAGGATTTGCCTCAACCAAAAATCCACGCTGTATTGTGATGTAGAATGACACATAATGACAAACATAAGAAATAAATAACATGGTGAAAGGTGCACACCATTGTTACCAGACAAATGGGATACTCCTTTATAAGTAGAAGTATTCCTTATTCATAGAATACATCTTACATATAATATGATCCAAAAATACAAACAGAGCAACAAGACTCATAGTGTAGAGCTATCAAAGCCATCAGTGGGATCCTCCAAATAGGATCACTCACATAAAAATGAGCCCAGGAGATGAGCTCAAACTTCATAGCATAGCATGTATAAATAAGGTCTCCTCACCCTTCTCCAGGAACAGTCATACGGAAAACAGCTTCTTTTTAATCAGCCAGCAAAGCAAATAAACAGTAAGCTATAGATATTTTGTAATATAAAAGAAAAAGCCCATTGCTTTTTACTGCAGTCTTTCCCACAAAAACAAATGTTAGGGGCAGAGCTAGCAACGGATCGGAGTGGTCGGAAGCTTAATGTGCTCCGCTGTAAAACCGCTGAAAACTGCAGATTTCTGCTACACTCTTTACCCAGACGAAGTGAGTACTCATGCTAGGGCCGGTACTAACAACCATGGGCCACAAAACCAAAAAATTCAGGGCAGAAAAGACCCCAAAATAGCCGAAATATTGGCAACCTCCTTTGGCACTCATATCAGTCTGCATGGCCCAATATGCCGCCGCCAGACGAAGACTTCTTATTCTCATCTGAGGATTTTGCCGCAGACACAGGAGCTGGCACATCCTTAAGTACAGTGCCTGAGGGAAAGCCTGCCCCCGCTGCCGAAGATCAGGAGCTGGTTACAACTGCTTTCCTTAAAACTATGCTGGGAGAACTGCACACAGGTATAGCTGCAGACATCTCACAATTTAAGGCCTCCATCATGAGTGTCACCACTAGAATCACACTGCTGGGAACTATAAGTGCTCAAGACTCTAGGTTGACCTCAGTGGAGTATAAATTTGAGAAAATCCAACTGGCTCAGCAAAGACACGCACATCCGAGTTGAGATACTGGAGGATGAGAGAAGACACCATAATTTGAAATGTAGGGGCATCCTTGCAGACATAAGCACAGATGAAATGCCACACTACCTCAGATGGCTCTTCGCAGCACTAATGCCACCTAAACAAGCAAAAGCGATGAAAATGGGTGGCTTGTTCCGGCTTCCGAAATCACCAACTGCCCCAACCTCAACTACGCTGATCTAATTGTCTGCTTTCAAATTACTCAAGATAAAGCCTTATTCCTTGTGGCAGTGAGAGGGAAATTGCCAATCCAATGTTAAGGCTCATTCCTCCTCATCTTTCCAGACTTCACACAAAATACCTTGGCCTGGCAGAGCTCGTTGAGACCAATGTTACGGGTTCTTCGAACAAAAAAAATTGTCTACCAGGACAAGACTCACCGGGCACAGAACCTCCAGGACCTGGAAACCACCACGAGTAGCCTGGGTCTCATCATGATCATTGGAGCTCAGGATACACATCTGCCCAGACTGGACATCTCCAAGATCCCTGTATTCAAGCCTAGACCATCTACGGTAGCAGTTACTTGAGTGAATCCCTGTGTGCTGCCTCCTGATGGCAGGAGCATACCTCACCAAGTCTGAAAAAACATATGAGGACTCTTGGACAATGTGCTGGTTCACTTAATATTTTTATTTTCCTGTCCTTTTTAACCATCTGTTTTCCACTCAAGACCCTAACATGGACTCTTTCTAGATAAAATGTTAAAATCTTACAAAGGTTGTGTAATTGTACTTTTTTAAATGGAACTTGCTGTCTCTGGAATACCTGTTTTAGTACCTGTGGAGGGTATAAACTCTCTCACACCCTGACCCTCACCCCCCTTTTTTCCCATTTCTCACTTGTCCTGACTCAGGATTAATGTGGGTGGTGGTCACCATGCCAAGGGGAAGTTAACTGCTCCTTGAAATTCAATAGCAATGTCTTACTAGTGTATCATTCTCAGAGTAAAAAAACCCTAAAAATTCTCTCTTCACTGTTTACCAACGTACCAGATTTGTATAATTCTCTTTTTCTACTCATGCCATGCTATAACGCTGTTATTTATGTTTTATGCTCACAAGTGAAGTGAGACACAAACAAAGAATTAAAAAAACAACCAATAAATAATTCTCTTTTACATCTTTAATGTAATATGCTCCATTGTATCTTTCCAACGTGCTACATCATGCATCACCGTATTGCTATCAACATTAGACCTTCTGGATACAATGACATGACTGGTCAGAACACCACCCCAACCTGGGAACCGGTGACAATAGAGCCATTTATACTAAGAGCCGGGAGAACCCACAGACCACCTAACTGGTATAGGGGGAGAAGTCTCCTATCCCAACAAGGTCCAAGGCTGCACAGATTTATTTATTTTTTTCATTTTATTGTCACTAGCTTTACATTACATGTTAACAGTTTTGTTCTGCTGTTTCTACACAATGTTAATGCAATGTGTTCTGTCAGATACTAACCATGGCCACTCAGGCTCCTACCATTAACACACATCTATGATTCTTCTGGAGGTGGCACCGTTCCACTCCCGCAATAACACAAGGTGTACTGGGGTACTTTGCAAACCCCCCCCATCCCACAACCCCCTGGTTAGGGTCATTACCCAGAATAGTCTACCCGGGGCTGGACTGGCCCACAAGGATACCAGGAAATTCCTGGTGGCCTGCTGCAAATGGGGCCGGCAGTGCAGCACCTGACACATTTATTTTTCCTTCCTCTGACTTTTGTTTGGGTGCTGGGGCAAACAATGAGTGACTGGTACACAGACATGGGTGGTAGCCACCTGCAGCAGGGAGGAGTGAAAGTCCATCTCACACATTACCAGCTCCTCTGCATGGCCAGTCTGGTAGAATTCAACCCCACACTGGAGCTCCGCCTGTTTGCCTGTAGTAAGCTTGTCTATTGTGAGCTTGTGGGTCAGAGAGCTTATGAATGTCAGTGAGCTTTTGTATGGATCAGGGAGTCTGTGTGTGTCAGTGAGCTTGTAGGGATCTTGTGTGTGTTTGTAAGCTTGCCTGTAGTAAGCTTGTGTGCGTCAATAAGCTTGTCTATAGTGAGCTTGTATATGGATCAGGGAGCTTGTGTGTGTCACTGAGCTTGTGTGATTGTGTGTGTCAGTACGTTTGCCTGTACTAAGCTTCTCTATTGTGGGTTAGAGAGCTTCTGTATGTCAGTGAGCTTGCATATGGATCAGTGTGCTTGTGTGTTTCAGTGAGCTTGTGTGTATCAGTGAGCTTGTGTGTATCAGTGAGTTGTTGTGTTCGTCAATAAGCTTGTAGTAAGCTTGCATGTATCAGTGAACTTTTAGTGTTCTTGTGTGTGTCAGTGAGCTTATCTGTAGTAAGCTTGTGTGTGTGTGTCAGTAATAGTCTGTTTGAGCTTGTGTGTGGATCAGGGAACTTGTGTGTGTGTGTGTGTGTGTCACTGAGCTTGTGTGCAGTGAGCTTGTGTGTGTCAGTAAGTTTCCCTGTAGTAATCTTGTCTATTGTGAGCTTATGTGGGTCAAAGAGCTTCTGTATGTTAGTGAGCTTGTGTATGGATCAGGGAGCTTGTGTGTGTCAGTAAACTTGCTTGTAGTGAGCATGTGTGGGTGAGAGAGCTTCTGTGTTTCAGTGAGCTTGTGTGGGTTAGAGCACTTCTGTGTTGATCATTAGTGAGCTTGTGAGGGTCAGAGAGTATGTGTGTGTCACTGAGCTGGTCTGTAGTGTGCTTGAGTGAATGTTTGTCAGTGAACTTGTGTGCAGCAGTAAGTTTGTCTGTAGTGAGCTTGTGCATGGGTCAGAGAATGTTTGTGTGTATCGGTGAGCTTGTCTGTAGTGAGCTTGTTTGTAGTCAGCTTCTGTGTGTGTGGAACATGCTTTTTAATATATATATATATATACATATATATATATATTGTAGCGGGCCCTGGTTACCCATTCTATTAATTAAGTAAGAGACCCATTTTCCCCAAGTAAGCGGACAACACACAGTTCCAGGAGTACAAAACCATCTGTATTGGCCACACTCAGCTTTATACCTTCCCCATGCAAGGGGTGGTTCACTCATACAGACAATGTCCCCTCCCAGGGTCCTCCCCCTCCCAGGGGTCATATCACAGAACCGGACCCCAGTCCCTTTGTCCCTTGTTCCCGCCACTCAGTGTCCCCTCCCAGCATTCTCCCCTTCCCAGGATCCCTTACATGTGACAGGAACTCCAGTCCCTTTGACACCAGTCCCCCCCACCCAAATGTAGGGTTTCCTACTTCCCGTGGCAGGAGGGTCTTCTTCTCAGGATCCTCTGTACCCCAGGCACAGAAAGTCCACTAAACCGCCATTGTCTTCACAGAGTGTCCCCAGCAATCTCAGGGACCCCCAGAAAGGCAACCGTTTGCGGGGTCCCTAAGTGAAACCAGGCAAGGGAAGCGTCTCCTTTCGGGACATGAATGCTCCCCCTGGCCGGTGTTCATCTGTACGAATGGCGGCCACCAAGGGAAGTGCTCCTTAATTACTTCCCTTGAGGTTTCACACTTATGTTGCAAGTTGCCAACATTCTAATTGATTGGTGTGAACACTCCAAGGGTGAGAATGCTCCCCATGAATAGCGTTTGTTTAACGAACCGGCCGCCATCAATGTTCGACACATGCCAAGGCTTCCCTTGCAGTTTGTGGTTTTCACACCTCGTTGACTAGGTGCGAACATGCTAACGAGGTTTGAACATTCCAAACAAACATTCTAAATGAGGTATCGAGGTGGTCCCCGTTCGGGAGGCGAACAGAACTTGTTCGTATAGGGATTCCCGAACGGAGAGTAGGTAAACCACAAGAATATACACAAAATAGGAGATAATTACGGGAAATTACATACAGCAAATCACTAACAGGCAGCAGTCCAGCCACATATATTTTCTGTAATTATACCATTGAACGACTGATGCCAATGTAGCGGACCTCTGCCAAGGATCGCTTCCTAGCTGGAACAGGGAAAAACCGCAGTGCTTCTGCCCCAATCACTGTGGCTTGACTGGGGTCATCCTTGAGCCTCTCTGTCCTGGAGCAGGATAGGAGACTAGCTCTATTCACTCCCAGGGACTGGACGACACACAGTCCTGGGAGCTCTAGTCCTTACAAGAACCTTCCCCGCTGAATCCTCCACAAGCTGGAACAGTGATTAGCCCTTTCCCCTCCCAGTAACTAGGCAGCACATTCTGGGAGTACAACTGGTTTAATGGATCCAAACACAGCCTTTTTATACACAGACCCCAGAAGGGGGTCTCCATTGTCTTCACCATAAGCCCCTCCCAGGAATCTCTGGGCCTGGGAGATAATTGCGTTAAAAGACCGGTAAGTTAATTATCTCCCAGGATCAGAGAGGCAAACAAACATAAAAATACCCCAAAACATAATAAAAACATAAAACAATCCAACAAATACATTGTTAAATAACCCAGATCTGAGTGCCCAAGTTCTCCAAATAGCGCTCAGATCCATGCAGTGTAGGGGAAATGCCACTGTGTTAAAGTTATGACAGGCCGCACACGTGGTCCTATGTCCAAAATAGTTCCAGGGCGTTTGGTGCTTTTGACGGTCAACTTTCCGGAGTTCCTGCGGCCGCAATACAGGATGCTCTGCCTTGCTCTTATGTAGCATTTGTTCCCCATACTCTCAGACACCTTCCCTCCACAAAGCGCGCTCCTGGCGGATTTCAAAGTGGTTCAAAACTGCAAACCAAGTTGTCTGGGAACCACACGGTCACCTCATGCCGAAAACAGCTCCATAACATTCTCGGCTAAGTCCCGCTGAGGTGACTAGGAACCCATGGAGTCCTAATGCCGAATTTAGTTCCATAGCAGTCGCGGCTAAATACTGCTGGGACTATTCATGGGTTTGGTTCATGCGAACGGCCGCCAGACAGCTAGTGTTCGGTTCTATTCGCATTGAGGGAAAGTGCTGAACCATGGGCACCCAGGGAAAGCTACTAATGGTGGCTGGGCAGGGTAACTCCCAAACGGTGTCCCAGACCTGGACCATAGTTGGTGGGCAGGAGGCCAGCTTCTACACTCCTCCAGGAGTCTGTGGCAAACGTACGTGGGATTGCCCTGCTTAAAGAATTGTCCTCAGGCAGGGGGCGGCTTGGAGGGTGGGTGTTACAGCACTGCAACACCCATGGATCATCTGGAGTGAGGGGCTGCAGGTAAGAAAAAATATATAATGGCTCCCAAAGCACACAAGTATAAAAAAATACACAATGAAGTAACACAATGAATTTAAGAGGTGGAATTTTCAGGACTGCTTTCTGTTCCCAGTCCGGCCCTGAGTCTACGCTGTTCACAGATATATTACCCCTCCTTCTGGAGGGAAAGCCTTCACATAGCCTACTCTCATACTTCTCTAATTAAAACTAGAATCTACACACTGACCCAGGCCGGTGCAAGAATTCCTGCCGCCCTAGGTAAATATCCATTTTGCTGCCCCCTCATGAATAAAAGTACATTCTCTCAGAGGCTATTCACTAAACTCTGGATTGCAGTGAATTAAAAACTGAATTCCAAAGTTTAACCCCTTAGTGACCAGACCGTTTTTCCATTTTCTTAC